TGGATTCTCGAGGAAAATGTAAAGACTTCCATAAATTACTTAGTACCTTTCAACGCTCGTATTCCAATTTTTTATTTATTTTTTGAGCCTCCCCTAAATTTACTTTGCTCCGCCGCCTATGGACAGGGCTCTAATATTTATCTACTTCTCATCTCATATTGAAGATGATACAGCACCACACCGATGCCCTTTGCCAATTTCTTTCAATCAGGCTATAAGCTCTTTACTACACTACCACTTTCTGCTCTTGTTATTATTGCAAATGAATTGTATTGAAAACAATAGGAATTGTGTCACAATTGGAGAGAAAGGTAGCCGAATGCCATCGTTCTTTTGTCTCTTCTTTTAGAACCAGAGAAGAACGAAAAATAATGGTCGATTTTATCCCAAATTTACTGGGCTTGGCGGATGCCGCTAACATACTCTCGAAAAGTATTGCAGAAGCCGTCAATACAACTCAACAAGCTGGCTTTAAAATGCTTCACACTTTGAACGACATGTTGGCCAGCAATGGGGAAAAATTTGTTAACGGTATTAATCAGAGTGTATCGAAGCTTCTCTCTGAAGCAGTCGACAAAACAAAAGAGGGTGCGAACGAAGTCATTACAAATGCTGGTCACACCTTGTCAATCACTGCTGAATTTGCCATCGAACGTGCTGAAAATGCTACCATCACTGTGTGTAATGAGATACTGGAGAATATTCGACACGAGATCGATATGATCACACACGATTTCATCTCCAACGAACTGGTCATGGCTATCGGCGCATTCCTTTTTATCATCTTACTGTTGATATGCAGTTATTTATTTTTGCAAATCCACATCGCTCTCGACTGTTGCACTCAAGCCGTTAAGGTTATGACGAAGATGATATTGATTCTCGTTTATCCGCTTATATGCGTGTTCTTTGGCTTGATTCTAGTGTGGCTTACTAAAACAGCTATCCAAAAGAAGAGTCCAGCCCATATTATTGGAATTTTCATTATATTAACACCCATCCTCTATTTGTTCTGCTATCTCACTTGTTGGAATAGGGTACACTCGGCAAGTAAATGGATAAGCAAGATGGTCAGCAAGTGGTCTGCAGTTGGGGAACAAAAGCGTAAAACTTCGATGTCATTGAATAATGCGAATGCTGCCCCCATAGTCGCTATGGAACTTCGAAATTAATGTTAAGCTGGTTTTTTTATTCCTCATTCTTTAAGAAGTCACTGTGCTATCTATTCACTTTATTCTATGTCTTCTGTGCTATACTTGAGAGTGTGTGTGTGTGTGCGTGTGTGTGTGAGTCAAAAGGCGAAGACATCCATAGCCTCACCCGCACATCCTCTCGTTTTCATCATTACCGCTTGAAATAGTTCATCTTGTGTAGTATTTATGTGAAAGACAATAAAGTTGTAACTTAAATCAATTTATTATCAGCCAAATTTTTACCATCGTCCATTTTATTCGGATGAAACCGAAGAAATGATCGAGGTCCTACTTATCTCATTTATGTGGTTCATCAAAACTCTCAAGTTCGATTTAAGGAGACTTTCATTTTCTTTTCGGATGTTAAAATCAAAGTTTGTTCGATTTTTTATTTTTTCATTACTAATATAGCTTTGAAGTATCCTCTGTCAAATGTCATATGAGTGAGCTCAAATCCCTCGAATCGGAGAAAAAACGACATTAAATCATAGTCAACTCACGGCTCTTTATCATTACCTCTCACCTCTCTCTCTCTCTCTCTCACACCTTTCAAGTACAATGCATACAATGCATCTTATAAACATACACATTATTTTATTTTTGATACATTAAGTTTTCAATCCGGATAAGCTGTTAGACCAATCCTAAATAAAAAAATAATTAAAATTAACTCTTTGAGTATTAGTCATAATAGTCACTCACAGGATTCAAATTATTTTCTTTGAGTGCATGCCTAAAAACGTCACATTAAAAAGTCAAGCTGCTACTAGATATAAATGACTTGCACCTAACCGAGAAAAGCTAAATGGAGGTACAATTTTCTCAAAAGTTCGAAGGCTACTTTTAACCCATCAATCGGCTGGAATTTAAGTACGATAAAAAGACTCAATAAAATATAGACTCCTTGATGCGTTTGCAGGGTGTATATGATAACATGTATCTGTGAACAATGATAGGATACAGAATGAATAACCAAATAATGAAAAAATAGTATGGGCCTTTATTTCGCGCACTTTATATTGTATCTGTTGACCCCAAAAGCGCTGCGTATATCGACAGGCAATATCTGTTAAATCTTTTTATGGTAACTGATACATTTTCGGCATTATGAATACGTTTACAGTTATTTGTTTTCATAAATTATAATTACTGAAAATAGCTGAACAAAACCGTGGGTTAACTCCGGTTAACTGGTGGTTTTTATAAAAAAAGAAGACAGGACTAGAGCAGTTCGTTAGTAATTTTATTAAATCTATCTCTCGAAATTTCTAGCAGAAAAATTCGTGCTGCGGTGATTGTTTGTATGCAAAATCCTCCTAATGACAATTCTAGAGATGTTGACAGCATGGATCATGGACATATAACGCCGCTACTTTTCGAATCACTTTTGTTGGGGAAAAACGTCCTGATACATACGAGAAAGTTTGTTTCGCGTTCGTTTCTTAAAATCATTTTTTGAACAAAAAAAATGAAATTGCCCCTCCCCGCTCTTTTATCCCACACGGTGCATTCGATCTGGCTCAATTTTGTTAAGAACACGTTGTTCTAGTTGGGATGTGCTTTTTTTCGTTACAATACTATTCCTACGAAATGCAGCAGCCTTTAAACAGCTAGCATCATTGATAAAAAACACGTTTTTTTACAGTGCTTCTAGTTTTTTGCATCTCCGAAGCTCTAGGAATAATATTTTTGAAAGAAAAAAACACGCATCCCGACTTGATCCTAGTTGTAATAAACAATATTGCAGCTGAAAGAAATGAAGTATAATTCTGCGGAAGAGACTTCTAGTCATTGTTGATCTTTGCGATCCCCATATCTCTCTGAAGAGAGCATCTTGGAATTCTGAATCCCTGACAACTTTTGCTCTAATTATTGAAAAATTCATTATTTTTTGTCAAGTCGCTCCCAAAAAACCACGGGAAGAGAATTTACTTAAAAATTTCTGGTTGACGTATAACAGTTAAGTACGTAGTGAAACATAATGATGCAATTATTAAAATAATGAAAGAGAGCTATTTATTAATGTTTTTATATCACTATAGATATATAAAATATATATATTGCATAAAAAATTTGCGATTATATACAGCAATGCCAAATAAGGAAGATTTAAAGATCAACGTTTGTTGTTAACGATTAATTGTTAAAATAATACTTCCCAATAAAATTTTTTTTAATATTCATGTTTTTTATGTGTGTTTTTCATCTTATATTTTAGTGTCAATTACAACTGAAAACATTTAATTGTTGTCAATCCGAAATCAACTTTCTCTCGATCGTTTTTAATTTGAATAGTTTTAGTCAAATCAACAATAGGCTTAATTTTTGCTAAATCAGCTTCATCTGTACTTTTTCCTTCTAATGGATCGAGAATTAATACTTGTTTTTCTTTTCCATATTGAAAATTAGTGGATGAATATTTGAAATCTAAATGTATGATCGTATGATGATCAGCAAATTGAAATACATATGATAATAAAGGTTCTAATCTACACCAAGCTCTTTCAGAATAATCTGATGTTTCAATTCTTAAAAAACGTTCACAACATGCCACCCATATTGGTAATAATGGTATAGCTGATGCTAGATCATATTGATCAATGCAACAAAAATCAATCCAATAAAAAATTTCTGGAACAAAACCATGTTTTAATTCTACCCATTCTTGTCTCCATTTAGTAAATTCATTTATTGCTTTGGCTTTCTGGTTATCAATCGAATCAGGATGAGATTCACTGGAATTAAGACGTGGTCGTAACCATCGATGACTAACCATAAAAATTTCACATATTCCAGCACCATATTTATCAATTGCTTCTAAAGCATCAACAGCTAAATTTTCTTTACTATGTGGAATTCGTTGAATTTCAGCAAGTATTGACCAATGTATTAGTCGCATTCGAGGACCGTTCATTTGATTAGCAAGTTTAATCAATGGGCAACGATCATAACTTTTAGAGTAATCAGCAAAACATTTATTTTTTAGTAATTTTTTCACATTTTCCCATAAATCTTCCATTCAACTGTAGTACTTTATTTTTATTTAAACGTCTATATCTAAACAGAAAAATATACCGTTCTCATTATGCAAAAAAAAAATGAGAACAGAATGTGAATGCAATTATTTGCCGACGCATAGAAAGAAAAGAAAATTTGGCCATGAATACATCATTTCTTTTTCTGTTTTTTATTCTCCTTGACTTCTACGTCGGCAATAAAAGTGTTTTGGACTTATTTTTGTTGTTGCTTTTGTCAAACATGCGAATAGATTCAGATCATACGACTAGAAGAAGAAAGTAATTTGATTTTCACTATCTAATTTATTTTTCTCGCGTTCTGCATTTCTTTCTAAAAAATTTCTGTTATGCGTAGGCAACATTTTTAATCTTTTAGCAGGATAGATTCACTATGTAAAAGCGAAGTTCTACTTCCGATATTTTAAAGAGACACAGAATCAAGACAAGTTTTGAAAAGTAATATATTAATAAGACAGAAGATAAGACAAATGCTAAAAGTATGGTTATGATTGTCAGCATACTTCAAATTCATTTAAAAAATATTATACACGAAATCTAACTCAATATCTGATATTTGTAATAGTTTAAATTATATCAAATTTTTAACAACTTCACCAATTGGATCTAATGAATGAGAATAAATTTTTAGTGAAATGCAATGAATGAAAACTAAGGACTATTTAAATAATATTGTAAAACATTTTGATATGTATACAGAATAGACAAAAGTTCGTAATATCAAAATATATATATATATATATAAGCAAGATTAATGATTAGTAATAGACAAAACATCACACAACTATTAAAAAGAACATTATTTTAAAAACTATTAATGTAAACAGTTTTTGTATGTAGTAAAATATATTTGTTTCCATTGATCTGAAAATTTCTTTATATATTTAATAACATAGGAAATGGCGCCGAAGTAAATAAGAAGTATTCATGATTAATAACGAAAGTATTCAAAGCATTTAGAAGCAGAAAGATGCTAGGTGAATCCTGCATCACTTGTCTTTTTGTGGAATTTGAGACGATCTATTTTTGTTGCTGCTTATGGAAGAAACTAGACAGTATACTGTTTTTTGCCTATGAAGTAAAAGTTTGAAAACTGTGCTATGATTATGTGAAAGTATCTGACGGATGTCGATTATCTTCAATCAATTGCTGTCTGAGATAACTTTAATCATAACGTAATGAAGTGAATGAAAAGTGCAACGGAAGGAATTTATGTGGCTGGTAGGTGAAGTTGGATGAGCAAATCATAGACACTTACATTCCTCCGAACGAAATCTAGTAAAGAATATGGACAAAGCAAGTGAAACTTAAGGATTTAGGCAAGATACACTCAAAGGAAAAGAATTTTAAAATATCATACAATTTTTCATGAGTTTAATTTATTGTTTTTTTTTATTATCATATGTATACGAAACAATTTGAAATGTTGGATATTCTGCGAACGAAATTTTTGCTTTGTAATGCATCAGTAGTAGACAAAAACAGTTATGTCAAAGATAATTGTCAATGATGTAACTTGCAAGATTTCAAATGCTTTCATGTCACTATTTCCTTTTTATCAGATACATTAGATCTTCTTGACGAAAATAAACCGCATACCAATTCTTTCGAATCAGTCAGGTTGAGGAATACGGAATCTGTATGCGACTGTAACTCGCCATTTTATATGGTTTAGTATCACAATCGTATATATTCGTAGCCGTATACGGCGAACTACAGAGAGAAATGGAGGTAATATACAATACATTATTACCATGCATTGCATTGATGCAATAGAATGATCGAATGTGAAAATACCGTTAGCTTCATCAATTTGTTCAATTATGTACAGTCGTTTTCGCTACAGTCTAACGAAATTGAACATATATTGACTTAATATGTGACAGTATATGCCAGTCATATATCTTCGTAAATGCAAGAGAAAAATTTATTCTTTTATCTCGCTGTATTTTTTAAAACGTCTGTATACGGAATCTGATTACGAACGTGTTGTTCGAGCTGGGCTTGGCTTTCTTCCCGCCATTATTCTTTGATCGAATATCTATATTACAGATGTACACTCAATTACTTAACTCATTCTGAAAATTTCAGCTCTAGAGAGTAAGAATTTGTCAAGAGAAATAAAAATATACCTTATGTACTTATGTACCATTAAAACTACTATTTGTTTTTCTTCTTCTTCTTCTTCAATTAAATTAAGGAAGAAGACTTAAAGACAAATGTTAACAACTGAATCTATCGCAAGAGTAATTGTTCATCAAAATTTCAACAAATCAGAATTCAAAAAATGCTATCTTTCTTCCAAGATCTTCGAAAACAACAGATTGATAAAAATCACTTCACACTCATTAGCTGCAAAAAGACACAATATCGTTGTAATCTTTATATGCTTTAGTTTTTTTTCTTAAGTATGAGAATGAGTAGCTCGCACTCATTCTCTTAAGCAATGCTTCAGCCACACTCACCCTCATCATTATGCTTTTGAAAATATATCATTTGAAAACAAATAACATTATTCATCAGTGCTATTCTTCAGAAGCAGATTTATCGAATAGAAAAACATAGGCCATTTTTATCAATAGGTAAATTTATGAAATGTCATGTGAGAAAAGCAAATACAAACGTGCACCGATGTTTTCTTTTTCTTTTTGTAATATACGTCGAAACTTTGTAGTCAAACAAAGAAGAAAAAAGAAAATGATAACAATAAAAAAACAATCTTTTTGTTTTTTCTTTATGTATTACAATGCTTTTTTACTCTTTTATTATTCTCTTTAGTCATATATAATACAGTCATATGGCAAACAGAATGAATTTAGGATTCTTACCTAATGAATTATTATTTAATTTATTTGAATATTTAACTATTCTTGATCTTTTTCAAGCTTTTTATGGTCTCAATTCACGTCTCAACACTCTCATACTTGCTCATTGTCGAAAATGTTGTCTTAATTTTCAATCAATAACAAAAACAGATTTTGATATTATTTGTAAAAATTATCTTCCATTTATTGTCAATCGAATTATATCTCTTCGTCTTTCGGATGATGATAATACTCCTCAACAAATTGGTCTTTTTCTTTCATATAATTTTCAAATACAACATTTTATTAATTTAAAAACAATATCATTATCAAATATTCATTCTTCATATATACTAGATAAATTAATAAATGAATGTTCTCATATTTTATCTCTCACACGTCTTACATTGATTAAATGTTATATTTCAATGAATCGAACTAGTGCTAATCGTTTATATAGTCAAATTTGGAGTTTATCAAAATTAAATTATTGTTATATAGATATTAATTTTGCTCATGGAAATTATTTTCCAATGCCAACAGTCACTTCTACATCACTCAAACATTTATCTATTACAAATACTTCTTGTTATTTAAATGAATTAATTCATTTATTTCAATTCACACCTAATCTTCAATATTTATTGATTGATTTTATGGATTATGCTAATGAATTTGATTTATCATTACCAATTATATCAATAACTCATTTAAAACTTTCTTTTGATAGTTCATTAAATATTTTACAATATCTTTTACAAAATATACCTGATTTATATGATTTAACATTAGAAACATGTAATATTTATATGGATGGATATCAATGGGAAGAATTAATTAGAAAATATTTATTAAAATTAAAAATATTTCAATTTAAAATGAGATTTTCAGCATTAAATGATGAAAGTAAAGAAATTCAATCAGATCAAATACTTGATTCATTTCGAACTAAATTTTGGTTAGATGAACATCAATGGTTTGTACGATGTCATTGGTATTCTTCGGATGAACAATATCGTTTTGATTTCATAGATATATTTACTTTACCATATGCATTTAAAGATTTTCTTAGTTATACAGGTTGTACTTTAGCAAAATCGACTTTTCCTAATGATGATAAATATTGGTCATATGATCGTGTGAATAATTTATGTTATGGTTCTTCACATTTTACCAGTTCAATTATGTCACGTGTTCGTTTTTCTAGTATTCAATATCTTTCATTATCACTTCCGTTCAATGATCAATTTTTAATAGTTGTTTCTAAATTTGATCGACTAACATCATTAAATATATCAATAAATAATCATAAAAAAACAGATAATATTCTGTCGCAATTACAAATGCTACTTGATCGAGCACCTTGTTTATATTCATTAAGTCTTGGTGCATGGTCTTCATTAAATTTACAAATACCATTAATAGAAAATACAAGTAAATCAATCCGAAGATTAAATTTTCAAGGATATGCTTCTGGTAAAAGTTGGTGTTATTTTGATGATGAACAATGTCATCAACTGAGTCATTCTCCATTGGGTGTTCAATGTGAGACACTCTTGATTAAAGTTAAAACTCGAAAAAATATACTTGATCTTGTCAATAGTATGTCTAATCTTCGAGCATTGAATGTTCGATGTGCAGATGATCCCTTGACGAATCTGAAGGATACCTTATCGCAAACAAAAGACGAACTTATTGAATGGCTACGACATTATTTACCTTCGTCGTCTATAATTATGAGAGACACGAGACAGATTCATGCTATTCGATTGTGGATTCGTTAAATAATTAACTTTATGCTGAAACAAGGAGAGTATTATGATTTTATATTATATTAATAAAAACTATTGAATTAGTATTATGTTTACATAATAAAAGGAGAAGACAGAAAATAGAATCGCTATTTAAATAATTATGAAGCGTTGATGACGCGAAAATGTAAGTAGTGCTACTTTAGATCTTTATGATGAAGAAACTCAAGTATCAAGTTGCATTTGACTGAAGTTTTCTTTTTCGATTAGATAAACCCATCATGTCTCTTGCTTGATGCAATAATGAAAATAAATTACGAATCTATTTCATAACAGCAATGTTTTTTTTTTCTTGCCATAAACCAGAGTCTATCATGAAAAAAAAATCTGCTAATGATTTGAAATAGTCTTCGCATTTCGATGATGTTC